CTCTCATGATTGATGTTTCTATCTCTCCCTCTTCCTTCTTCTCTCTGAAATCAATAAAAACATAAAGAATATTTTAAGCCAGCATGGTACTGGCATAAAAAAAAAAAAAAAAAAAGACATGTAGATCAATGGAACAGAATAGAGAGCCCTGAAATAAACCTATACCTTTATGGTCAATATTTGACAAAGGAGGTAAGAACAAAGAATGGGGTAAAGATAATCTATTCAACAAATGGTGTTAGAAAAATTGTACAGATACATGCAAAAAATTGAAACAAGACATTGTACCGCCTGTTAAACTTTTCCACTGTGACTGAACCCTTTACATTCTTACACAATACAAAAGAATACATTAAAAATGGATTAGACTTAAATGTTAGACTCAAAATCATAAAATTCCTAGAAAACATAGGCAGTAATATCTCATATTTCTCATAGCAATCATTTTTTCTGATATGCCTTCTTGGACAAAGAAAACAAAAGAAAAAAATGAACAAATGGGAGTACATGAAACTAAAAAGGTTTTGCACAGCAAAGGAAACCATAAAATGAAAAGACAGTGCACTGAATGGGAGAACATATTCACCAATACACCTGGTAAGGTGTTAACATTCCAAATTTTTAAAAAAATACATATTTTATTGATTTTTTACAGAGAGGAAGGGAGAGGGACAGAGAATCAGAAACATTGATGAGAGAGAAACATCGATCAGCTGCCTCCTGCACACCCCCCACTGGGGATGTGCCCGCAACCACGGTACATGCCCTTGACGGGAATTGAACCTGGGACCCTTCAGTTCGCAGGCCGACGCTCTATCCACTGAGCCAAACTGGTTAGGGCTAACATTCCAAATTTATAAAGAACTTATAAGACTCAACACCAAAAAAACAAGCAAAACCAAGCAATCCAATTAAAAAATGGGCAAAGGACCTGAAGAGACACTTCTCCAAAGAGGACATACAAAAGGCCAATAGACATGAAAAGATGCTCAATGTCACTAATCATTAGAGAGATGCAAATTAAAACCATAATGAGATATCACCTCATACCTGTCAGAATGGCTGTCAATAAATCAACAAACAAATGTTGGTGAGGATGTGGAGAAAAGGAAACCATCTACCACTGTTGGTAGGAATGCAGATTGGTGCAGCCACAGTGGAAAACTATGCAATTATCTCAAAAAATTAAAAAATGGAACTGCCTTATGACTCAGTGACTCCACTTCTGGGAATTTATCCAAAGAAACCAGAAACACTAACTCAAAATAATATATGCAGTTCATTGCAGTGTTATTTATAATAGCCAAGATTTGGAAGCAGCCCAGGTGTCCATCAGTAGACAAGTGGGTAATAAAGCTGTGATGCATTTTCACCATGGAATGCTACTTGGCAGTAAAGAAGAAGTCTTATCCTTGCAACAGCATGCATGGACCTGGAGAGCATTATGCATGCTAAGTGAAATAAGGCCGTCAGAGAAAGAAAAATACCATATGACTCCACTCGTATGTAGAATCTAATGAACAATATGAACTAACAAGAAAAATAGAGACAGACTCTCATAGGTAGAGAGCAGGCTGATAGCGGAGGGTGGGGGTGTTTGGGGAGCTGGATGGAGAGGGGTAGAGGGATTGAACAAAAAAGGAATAAAAAAGAAAAACTCATGGACATGGAAAACTGAAGAAACATTCCATTGTATATGTGTATGTATTCCTTTGTATATATATGTATGGACATTGTACCACCTGTTAAACATTTCCACTGTGACTGAACCCTTTACATTCCCACCAGCAATGTATGAAGGTTCTAATTTCTCCCTATCCTTATCAAAAACACTTTGTAATTTAGTTGGTGTGAAGTAGTATGTCACTATGGTTTTTAACATTGGATTAATTCTGTTCCTTTGAGATTTATTGAGGTATAACTGACCTCATTGTAGATTTCTTAAAATATATTTTTATTGATTACAGAAAGGAAGGGAGAGAGAGACGGAGACATCAATGATGAGAGAGAATCCTTGATCGGCTGCCTTCTGCACCCCCCCTTCTGGGGATTGGGCCCGCAACCCAGGCATGTGCCCTTGACGGAAATCGAACCTGGGACCCTTCAGTGTTAAGTCTTCCATATCTTTGTTGACTTATCTAGTTGTCCTGTCCATTAATTAACAGTGAAAATATCCAGCTATTTTTGAACTATCGCTTTCTACCTTCAGTTCTGCTACTTTTCCTTCATACAGTTTGGGGACTCTTATTAGGTATGTATGTGTTTATAACTATGATCTCTTTTTCCATTTTTCACTTTTAACCTATCTGTATTTTTGAATCTAAAGTGAGTCTCTTATAGACAGCATATAGTTGGATTATGTTTTTTTTTAATCCATTCTGCCAATCTCTATCTTTTAATTGGAGAATTTAATCTGTTTACATTCAAAGTGATGGCTGATATGGAAGAATTTACTTCTGCCATTTTGTTGTTTTCTATATGTCTAGACCTATTTTGTTTCTCAATTTCTCCATTACTACCTTCTTTTTGTTTAACTTATTTTTTGTAGTGTAACATTTTCATTCATACAACCTTAGCTCCTGTAGTATAAAAAACTCTGTTCTTATACAGCTCTTACCCCCTTTCTGTTATTGTAGTTGCAAATTACATTATATTGTGTTCCCATTAATATAGATTAAAAATTTTTTATACTTTTGGCATTTGTCTTTCAAATTATATAGGCAAGAAAAGAGGAGGTACAAGCCAAAAATACAATAATTCTGACTTGTGTTGTTACATTTACTCGTGTTCGAGTGCAGCTTTGAGTTGTTGTCTAGTATCCTTTTATTTCTGCCTGAAGAACCCCCTTTAGATTTATTGTAAGGCAGGTCTCCTAGCAACGAACTCTCTTAGCATTTGTTTATGTAGGAATGCTTGATTTCTTCATTTTTGAAGGATAGATTATTGCTGACTTCTGTTTTTTCTTTCAGCACTTTAAGCATGTCTTCTCACTGCTTTCACTAGTTTCTCCTGGGAAATCAGTTATTAATCTTGTTTGTGGACCCCTTGTATGTGATGAACTGCTTCTCTCTTGCTGCTTTCAAGATTCTCTCTTTGTAGTTGTCTTTTGATAGTTTGATGTAATGTGTCTCTTTGTATTGTTTACCTGGTATTTTAAGTTCATTGAGCTTCTTGCATCTTTAGACTTGTGTCTAATCAAATTTAGGAACTTTGCAGCCATTATTTCTCCAAATATGCTTTCTGCTCCTTTCCCTCTTGCCCCTGGGTCTTCAATTATGTTGGTATACTTGGTCTCAATGTTCGTGTCCTCCCCTGAAGAATTGTGTGTTCAGATCCTGACCCGCAAAGATGGTGGTGTTGGGGAGTGCTTTGGGAGGTGCTTAGGTGGTGGAAGCCCTCATTAATGGGATTAGTGCCTTCATCAAAGAGGTTCTGGGAGAACCCTTTCCCCTTCTACCACGTGAGAGGACTCAGTGAGAAGGTGCTGGCTAGGAACCAGGAAGAGGGCCCTTACCTGATCATGCTGGCACCTTGATATTGGACTTCCCAGCTTCCAGAACTGTGAGAAATAAATGTCTGTGTTTGTAAGTTACCCAGTCTCGTATTTCATCATAGCAGCCTGAAAGGACTAAAACACTTGATGTCCTACAGGTGTCTTAGGCTCATTATTTTCTGTTTCTATTCCTCTAACTCAGTGGTGGGGAATCTGCCAAGGGCCATTTGAATATTTATAACACTAGAGGCCTGGTGCACGAAATTCGTGCACAGGTAGTCTCCTTAGGCCTGGCCAGTGATCAGGGCCGATCTGTGGGGCAACTGGCGGGGCGATCAGAGGCCCTCACTGGCACCCACCTTGGCTGGCCTGGCACTGCCCGCTCGCTGGCCCTGCTGCTGCCAGTCGGGGCCTGCGGGCTGGGGGCAGCTCCTGCGTTGAGCGTCTGCCCCTTAGTGGTCAATGCGCATCATAGCGATTGGCTATTTGGTCAATTTGCATATTAGACTATTATATAGGATTATTCACAGGCCATATAAAAGTATCAACTTAAAAATTAGCCCACTATTTTTGGTCATACATTTAATTAATTCACCCTAATGTCTTGGTAGGGCCAGACCAAATGATCTCGTGGGTTTATACTGCCTGGGGACCAGATGTTCCCATCCCTGCTCTAACTAGATAATTTAAGTTGACTTATCTTAAAACTTGCTAACTTTTTTCTTTTTGCCCTTTTAAATCTGCCATTAGTGATCTCTAGTCAAAATTTTCATTTTAGTTATTGTACTTTTTAGTTCCAGAATTTCTTTAAAAAAACAATTTGTTTCTTTATTGATATTCTCTATTTGTTGAAAGAGTGTTCTCCTGATTTTTTGTTATCCCTTATTCATTTAAAGTTTTTGTCTAGTAACGCCAATGTCTATTTCTATTAATTTTTTCTCTAAATGGACCATGCTTTCGTTTCTTTGCATGCTTTATAACATTTTGTTGAAAACTGGATGTTTTAAATATTATAATGTGGTAACTCTGAAAATCAGATTCTTCTCTCTCAGAATTTGTTTTTGTTGTTTGCTGTGGATTCTAGTTGTCTGGCAAGTTTTCTAGACTGTTTTTGTAAACTCTATTTTGTTATGTTTGTCCTCTAAAGTCTGTTTCTTTAGCTTGTGATCAGCTCATCCTTCGAGAGAGATCTTGAATGCCGGAGCCAAAAAAAGAAAGGGTAAAAACCTTGTAATTGTTGCAGAATGGCTCTGTGCCTTAGCTCTTTTTCAACTCTGCCTTAGTCTTCATTTCCTGCTTGTGTTGAGCCTAACATCAGCCAAAGGTGAAAGCTTCCCGCCCTTTTAGGTCTTTTCTGGGCATGCTTCCCACCCTGGGCAAGTGTGTGGCTTTCTCAATTCCTATCCTTAGGCCCAATGCCCTAATTTCCCAAAGACACTCTCTCCCCAGTGTTTCCACCCAGGCTTTTGGCATATTTGTTTGCCTCAGTTGAATTCTTTTGCCCCAGGTGGCAGCACATTGTCAGTTGCCTCACAGAGGTTTTGAGTAGCACTGTTATACCCTGGAGAGTTCTAAGTTAGATCAAAGACACCCTGCATCAGTCCTTCAGGTCAAACAGACACAATTCTTTCATAATAATGTCTGCTCTGCTCTCTCTGGAGCCAGGGACTAGGTTCCCATACTGAGAGTGAAGGCTGCTGCTTCAAGACCACTGTGTAGTAAGGAAAGGGGCAAGGGCAAGTGCAAAATGCTGTAAAGCTTTCCTATTTCAAGTTGCTTTTTTCTTGACTCAGTGTTCACTGAGTTGCTGTGATTTCCTGGAGTTGTGACAGCTGATTGTGACAACTCGATTTTTCAGTGATCTGGGGAGGGATGGGTCCTTGAAACTATCTACTCTACCATTTTTGGTGATGTCACTCAAGAAGGAGTTTAAAAAATCATTTATTATGATATTTTGCTATAATGAGTGGAGTCCAAGAAATATAATAGTGTTTATACAAATTGTTTACAGGATGGAATCCGGCGTGGTCGACCCAGAGCAGATACTGTCCGGGATTTAATAAATGAAGGAGAGCAGTCGTCCAGCAGAATTCGTTGTAACATCTGTAACAGGGTGTTTCCACGGGAGAAATCGCTCCAGGCTCACAAAAGGACTCACACAGGTAAGTTGAGCCAATTTTAGAGAATGTCAAAAATAATACCTAACTGAAAGCTGATTTGATGTTTGGGCTTATAAATTAATTTTTTTAATTACCTTATATTTTCTCATTGTAGTTTTTTTTTAAACAGGCACTGTGTATGTTACAGGCCCAAGGTTTGGGGGCCTGATACTTCAAAAGAAAGGCCAATATTCAATGGATCAGAGTTTTGAAGTAAGGAAAGGTTTATTGATTGAGAAAGCCTGGCTTGAGAAGATGAGCTAATTATCAAATCCATTTTAAGAAGAATCTGGAATTTGGGCATCTTTTATTGTTAAGGGAAGGGAGGAGGGGCAAGGCAAGGGTGGGTGTAGGCAGGTAGGTGTTGAAAGGGATCCAAGGAAGAGTAAAATTTCCCAATCCCTTTGTTCCCAGTTGGTCCTGGTCCATTGACACCCACCCCTCCCCAACCCCACTGATCTGAGATCTGAGTCCAGTTATGGAGGCTCCTGTGAATTGTACATATTTCCTACTTCTTGGGGGTGTGGGGAAGCACTCTCTGTGGCAAGGGGCTGCTCTTGCAGAAACTCTAGCTCAGTTGGTTAGAGCATAGTCCCCGCTATGCCAAGGTTGTGGGTTTGGTTGCCGGTCAGGGCACATCCAAGAATCAACCAGTGATGCATAAATAAGTGGAGCAACAAATCAATGTTTCTCTCTCTCTCAAATCAGTAAATAAAAATTAAAAAAACAACACCCAATACTGCAAGCAGAATACCTCTAGGTAATTATCATATCTGTAGCAGGAGCTGTTAGCTGAAGGCCAAAAGAGAGAGGAAGCATTTCACTGTTACAGGTAGTCAGTTTATTTTTTGGTGGAAAGTGATGGCTTTCTGAACCACATGACTTCTGAAGTTATAGGGCAATTAATCTAGTAGTCAGAGGAATGTTATTACTACATTTAATGTTATCCTTCTACCTAGTTGAGTTTTACTTGATAGGCCCTTGTCTGTATAATTGTTTAAACTGACTTGTAGGCCATATACTAAAATAGTAATTGTCAAATTTTTAATAAAATTTCCAGAGCCCTCAGTGTGCCATGCAAGTGTTTGACCTAGTCATTAAATCCAAGGTGAAGCATAACTTTTCAGAATTAATGTATTGTATGCAGCTATTTCAAGACTATCATACATCGCTATTTGTGTAGAGAAATGACACTGGCAAAATACCATATAGAAAGAGAGCAAAAAATATAGCGTCCTTGCTCTTTCCACAGAGAAAGGTGGCCTCAGAAGAAGGAGCCTTATGGTTCTAGTCATGGTATCTAATTGTTCACAGTTGAGGAGACTGAGGTACCAAAAGGCAAATACCACTGCTTACACCCTCTCCTCCCCTGCAGTCTGCTGGCCCCTGGAGTAGCACATGTGCCTCGACTAATCGAAATGGGCAGTGTGTGTGAAGTACACTTGAATGATAAAAAGAGAGTAAATGATGTCCTTAATACTTTCTGATACTGAGTACATACTGAAATGATAATATGTTAGATACAATCTACACTAATAAAAGAGAAACATGGTAATTAGCGTACGACCACTACCCTTCCCATTGGCTAATCAGCATATCCTTATGCAAATTAACTGTCAGCCAAGATGGCGGCCGGCAGCCATGCACTGAAGCGAACAGGGAGGCTTGCTTGCTCCAGTGATGGCAGACTCCAACGTTCCCCGCCTCACTTGCCGGCCTCTCAACTGCAACTCTAAGCAACTATGTTGCAAATATAGAAGCTAAACAAAACCCCAGAAACCTGCGTTAGTCAGCCGGGAAAAGCAAAGACCAGAAACCTGCTTTCAGCAGCCGAGGCCTCAGAGCTAAAGCTGGCCCAGAATAAAAAAAGAAAAAGAAAAAAGGAGTGGTTGGGAGCTTCAGTAACCCGCCAGCCGGAAAACAGCCCTCAGCCCCTCAGCCAGACTGGCCAGGCACCCCAGTGGGGACCCCCACCCTGATCCAGGACACTCTTCAGGGCAAACCAGCCGGCCCCCACCCCTGCACCAGGCTTCTATCCTATATAGTAAAAGGGTAATATGCCTCCCAGCACCGGGATCAGCGGAGCCGCGAGGCCTCCCGGCACCGGGATCAGTGTGACAGGGGGCAGCGCCCAAACCCCCTGATCGCCTTGTGGCTCTGTGTGTGACAGGGTGCAGCGCCCCAAGCCCCTGATCGGCCCTGCTCTGTGTGTAACAGGGGGCGGTGCCCCAACTCCCCTATCGGCCCTATTCTGTGAGTGACAAGGGGGAGCTCCTCAACCCCCTGATGGGCCCTGCTCTGTGTGTGACAGGGTACGGAGCCCCAACCCCCCTGATGGGCCCTGCTCTGTGCGTGACAGGGGATGGCGCTGCAACTTCCCTATCGACCCTGCCTTGAGTGTGACAGAGGGCGGTGCCCCACCCCCCATCGGCTCTACCCTGAGCTTGACTAGGGGTGGCATCGCAACCTCCCGATCTGCCCTGCTCTGTGCATGACAGGGTGTAGCGCCCCAACTCCCCAATCGGCCCTGCTCTGAGCCCAACCAGGGGCTGCACCTAGGGATTGGGCCTGCCCTCTGCCACCCGGGAGCAGGCCTAAGCCAGCAGGTCATTATCTCCTGAGGGGTCCCAGACTGCGAGAGGGCACAGGATGGGCTGAGGGACCCCCCCCCGAGTGCACAAATTTTTGTGTACCGGGCCTCTAGTGGGTTAAATAAAATACACTATCAAAATTAATTTATCCTGTTTTTCTTTCCTTTTTAATGTGGCTACTAGAAGTAGGTTATACTTTATTTCTGTTAGGCACTACTGGTCTGGCATTTGGGTTTTTAACTCTTAGTCCCTATTTTTCCCACTATGGTCATCACCTATTTCTTTTTTAGTTTTTTGAAAAAACATTTTAATGTTATCTAGAATACAGCTAAATCCTTAGCTAAATTCCTAAAAAAGGGTAAAATTTGAATTTTGAATCATAAACGGGGGGCAGAGAGAAGTGTGAGAGAAGAGAGAGAAATATTGATCTGAGAGAGAAACATTAATCTGTTGCCTCCCATATGCGCCCCACCGGTGACTGAACCTGAAACCTAGGTATGTGCCCTGACTGGGAATCGAACTCCCAACCTTTTGGTGTGTGGGACAATGCTCCAACCAACTGAGCCACCAGGAGGTATTGCTATGACAAAATTCTGCCCTGGCCAGAACAGAATTTTTGTATTTTTAAAAAATCTGAAAAATGGTGGCAGAGTAGGAGGATGCTGCACGGACATACTCCCAGGAGCAAGCTGGAATTACAACTGAAATACAGAAAAGCTTCTGGAATAACCAACGGAAAACTCTCAGAAGAGAACCCTGATTCCCAAGGACCGAAGGTGGAGACCACATAGAGACTGGTAGGAGGGGTGGAGGCGTGAAAGGGCTGGCCAGGCACCCACAGATGGCAATTGAAGTCCCGGAGAGATATCTCAGCTGTGGGGGGAAGGGGTGCCACTGAGAACTCTGGGATCTAATCCCGAAGGTGGGCTTCCCCAACAGAGAGCACCAAACTGAAGAGGGTACTCACATAACAACTGGCTGTGAAAAGCAGTGGGGTGCTGTCTGCCAGGGAGTGGCAGCGGGAAGTTCGGGCACCCTCTTAAAGGGCCAATGCACCTTGTGCTCTGGCAGAGGGAAGGTGAAATGGATTGGAACTGTGAGAGCAGAACCCAGGCCTGGGGATTCGGGGGATAGAGCTCAGAAGGCAGACACCCCAAGTTTCCTGGGCTGAGTCATTCTCTCACAGAGCGAAGGACATCTTTCCCACATAGACATCTGCCTCGCCTGCGGGGAAGACAGTCGATACACCAGGCAGAAGCAACTGCCCCACCCTGTTGAAAAAAACTCTCGCCACACTTGAAGATGATTGCCTGGGGGCAATTCAAGCCAGAATCCTGTTAGTCTGTAGACAGAGGTGGTCTCTGGAGGCTTTGCAGGCTTTGTGTCTTTGCCCGATCCAATTAGACAGAAACGGCTTTTAACACTGTCCTGTGCTAGAGATTGAGAGGTGTAGAGGACCTACCTAATACACAGTCACAAACCCAGACAACCAAAATGAGAAACAAAGAAACAACCCCCAAATGAAAGTGCTAGTGAATTCTCCAGAAGAAGAGATAAATGAAATAGAGATAAGAAATTATCTGAAATAGAGTTCAAAGTAATGATGTTAAAAATACTCAACAGTATGAAAAAAGATATAGTAACTATGAAAAAAGAACAATCTGACATAAAGAATGACATAACACAAATAAAGAAACATTGGAAAGAATACACAGCAGATTAGGGGAAGCTGACGATCGAATCAGTGATTTAGAAGACAGTTGAAAATATCACTCAGAGAACCAAAAAGAAAAAACAATTAAAAAACAGGAGGACAGCTTAAGGGAGCTGTGAGACAATGTGAAACGTAACAATATTAGAAGAGTAGGTGTGCCAGAAGAGGGAGAAAGGGAGAAAGGAATAGAGGTGTTTGAAGAAATAATGGTAGAAAACGTCCCTAACCTGGTAAAGGAAAAAGTCACACAAGTTCAGGAGGCACAGAGAACCCCAAACAAGGAGAACCCAAAAAGATGCACACCCAGACACATCATAATTAAAATGCCAAAAATTAAAGACAAAGAGAGAATCTTAAAGGCAGCAAGAGAAAAGAAAACTGTTACCTACAAAGGAGTTCCCATAAGGCTGACACCTGATTTCTCACCAGAAACTCTACAGGCCAGAAGGGAATGGCATGAAGTACTCAAGGTGATGGAAAGCAAGGATCTGAGACCAAGATTACTATATCCAGCAAGACTATCATTCAAAATAGATGGTCAAACAAAGAGTTTCCCAGACAAAAAAAGGCTAAAGGAGTTCATCACCACCAAGCCAACATTACAAGAAATACTAAAGGGATTGCTGTAAGGGATTGCTGAGAAGAAGAAACAGAGAGAGAAACCTAGTCATACCAAATTAAAATGGCTATAAATAAGTATCTCTCAATAATCCTAAATGTAACTGGATTAAATGCTCCAATCAAAAGGTGTAGGGTAGCTGAATGGATACAAAAACATGACCCAACTATATGCTGTCTACAAGAGACCCACCTCAAAATAAAAGACACATACATGGTGAAAGTGCAGGGATCAGAAAAAAATTTCCCATGCAAATGGAAAAGAAACACAAAAGCTGGAGTAGCAATACTCATATCTGACAAAATAGCCTTTAAAAGCATCATGCTAAGCAAAATAAGCCAGTCGGAGAAAGATGAATATCATATGATCTCACTCATTTGTGGAATATAAGGAACAACATGAACTGAACAAAAATAGAGCCAGAGGGAAAAAAATATTCTAGAAGCATAATAGAAGTAATCCTGTTATTTGCAGATTTTTAATATTTCCTACAACTTTTGTGATATCATAATATGTTAGTACAGTTTTGGTAATATTATTATACTTAAAATCCTTTTATTCTTGAAAGATTAGTGTTTATTGCATGTGACATTTAAAATCATTTTTCTTGAGATATGTTTATTACATGTAACATTATATTTAAGATCGTTTTTCTTGAAATATTATGATTTATTGCATGTAACATTATTGTATTTAAAATCGCTTTTCTTGAAATTAAAAAAAATCTGGAAGAAAAATCTAATTAATTTGAAATACCCCAAGTAATTGGTGTGCAGGCTGTGGAGTACATGTTGCCAGTGTAGATAAGATTCAAGACCATGTGGCATTATGAGAAGATCTCTGAGTCCCAGTCCTGATCACTAATCCACTGTGTGTCACCTGATACTTCCAGGTATCTGCCTGCTATGCTGTATGTCAGGAAATTGAGCCTAAGATCATGGAATAGTTAAGATCTGATAATATATACTTTGTAAAGAGCTTCTCTCTTACTATTTTAAATAATCCTCCTATCTCCTGTGTTTTATTACCTTGTGTCCAACTATCACAACCATTTAGTACATTTCTAAATAATGAGAAATTTAGGGAGGACTGGTTCCTGGTCTTTGAGTTATATTGGAAGAACCAGAATATAATTGTTGATCAAAGAATAATTTTTCAAGAAATAATTATTTAATTATGACTGAACAACATTGTTGAGCACTTCCTCCAGCCTAGCACTGTGTTGAGTATGGGAATTAAAGGGAGTATGAGGTGTTGTGCATCTTTGTATAAGGAGAGTTCCATGACCCACGAACAACACAGGATAACAAGTGAAAGGATACAGAGCTTCCTTATTTGGAGGTAGGAGGAGTTTCACTGAGAGCCTACAGGATTGAGAAGGTTTGAATGGGCAGAGAAGATAGGATTTGCAAGGAGTAGAGCAAGATGAGGAACTGTCCTAGCTGGAATGAATCTCAGGGGTGAAGTAAAGATAAGCCCTGCCCCTTAACCCAGTAGCTACATTGCACATCTTCGGGGACCAATTAGAAGTCAGCAGATAATTATTATTATTATTTTTTTTGGTTAATCCTCACTCAAGGACATTTTTCCATTGATTTTATTTATTTTTTTTTAGAGTGAAGGGAAGCGAGGGGGAGAGACAGAGAGAGAAACATCTCAGTGAGAGAGAGACATCAATTGGTTGCCCCCCACAAGTGCCCTGATGAGCCTGCAACCGAGGTACATGCCCTTGACCAGAATTGAACCCGGGACCCCTCAGTATGCAGGCCTACCCTTTATCCACTGAGCCAAACTGGCTAGGGCTCAGTAGATAATTTTTATTTGTCCAAGGAGTAGTAGGGTTTGGGGTGAGTTAGGAGGTAGTTGCTATGACAAAGGCAGGAGTTCTGTGCCAGCTGTTGTGGAAGTACTGTGCAGGTGGAGTGACTAGAGGACAGCCAGGGCTTGTTCGAGGTGGAGGGGCTACCAGTCGACCAGGGCAAGTTGCAGGGGGAGTAGGAGTGGGAGACATTGTAAAGAATCTGCAAGAGGTGATTTGGATTATGGGAAGGAGAAAATATGGGCTAAGCTGAAGATGATAACTTCAAGGATTTGAACCTGGGTACCTAAAAGCTCAAGGCCTAGGGAAAATACTGTGCTCCCAGTGGACAGCTGCTTCAGAGCATGGAAGTGCTGCCTAGCATTTTCACTTGCAGTTCTATAGAGGCTGATGTGTTTTATTGTTGTTTGGCATCATGACCTTTATCAGGGTTGGGGAACGTCCGGCCCCTGGGCTGTATAAGGCCCGAGAAATTATTTGGTCTGGCCCTGCCAAGGCAACCGCAGGCAGGACTCGAAATTCAATAAATCTAGGAGCTTTTTTCATAGCAACATAAATATATATTAAGTGAATTATATTAAGTGAATAATATTATAAATAACCAAATGGCCCTTGGCAGAAAAAAGGTTCCCCACCCCTGATCTATATAGAGGTTGATTCTCTCCCCCTGCCCCTCTTCTAACCTTATTTTCTCAGAAATAATATATCCCATCTGTCTACATAGGTGAGAGACCCTACCTGTGTGACTATCCAGACTGTGGCAAAGCCTTTGTTCAAAGCGGACAGCTCAAAACGCACCAGCGCCTTCACACGGGAGAGAAACCTTTTGTTTGTTCAGAAAATGGTATGATGTTAGGAGTTAAGTTTATGTAATAACTAGTAGTGAGTTAGTTTAGTAGTTAAAAAATAACTTTTGCTTGAATTTTTTGGGAGGAGAGATTTTTTAAATCAAAATTTTAGAAAACACCATGTTCAATTTCCGGGGAAAGATTGATTTTTAAAATATTTTTAGGTGAAAATCTTAAAAGGCAAATAAAAATACTATATTCAGTTGTAGGCAGTAGAAAAATCTGTGAAAGTAAATACAGCCTTTAGAGTAGGCTTTTATGTTGATTTTAACATTTTATCTGTTAAACTCAAGAAAGCATATTGTCTGCGTTTTCAGTGAAGGGGGAAACTTTTCCATTTTATTTATTTATTTATTTTTTTAAAGTATATTTTATTGATTTTTTACAGAGAGCAAGGAAGAGGGATAGAGAGTTAGAAACATCGATGAGAGAGAAACATCAATCAGCTGCCTCCTGCACACCCCCTACTGGGGATGTGCCCACAACCAAGGTACATGCCTTTGACCGGAATCGAACCTGGGACCCTTCAGTCCGCAGGCCGACGCTCTTTCCACTGAACCAAACCGGTTAGGGCGAAACTTTTCCATTTTAACAAGCCACTGTTAGTAATTTCTTGTCACTTTTCTGAAGTGATTTTCTTAACCTCTTATCACAGTTTCTTAAGATGTTTTCCTTGTGCACATTTTTAGGTAGTTATAATTAAACTTCAATGCAGTTCTGTTTTGTAGCTCTGTGGTTTTCTTATTATTGTCAGTTACAGATGTCTTTAGGCTTTTTATCTAGTGAATTTGCTGAAGCATATACTAGTTATATCTGGATTTCTGCCCTAACCCCACATTGTTCAAGAGTCAGCTGTACACACTGATTGCCTTATTGATATTGAATATTTAATTTGCTTTAAAAATTGTTTGTTACCAACAAAGCTAAAGGTCACGTTTTCCTACTTAAACTTTGTTCAAGCTTTGTTCATCTTTTGGGATGTTGCCTTATGAGAGAGCCTGAAAATAGAATCCCAGGATCGGAGGGTTTGACCATATTTATGACTCATGCAAATGAATCACTTCCCGGGGGGGTTGCGTGCATTTATAACGCAATGACCAAGAGGTGAAAGAGCATTGCCCGCCCCCCTCACGAGCATTGATAAATTCTGTGCTTAGGGTTTTATTTCCTCCTCCACGTTAGAGAATGCTGTCTCATGATCTGTCTTACTTTTCCTGGTTCCCAGTGAAACTGAACGTTTCCCATGTGGGCCGCAGTCCCCATGCTAACGGGTGTTTCCCTCTGTGCTTTGTAGGCTGCCTGAGCAGATTCACCCACGCGAACCGCCACTGCCCCAAGCACCCTTACGCCAGGCTGAAGCGGGAGGAGCCCACCGACGCTCTCAGCAAGCACCAGGCGGTGGACAACCAGGCTGCTGCCGAGTGGTTGGCAAAGTAAGGCTCTCCTGGACCACGGCCACCCCTCGCGTGGGCTGACGTGGGGACTTCCGAAGTTCTCTCGTTTTAAATAAGTTGCTTCTATACACATTCTATGAAATAACTTGAAATGGTGCTTTATTTTCTTAAACCACAGGAGTGTTATTTAGACCTATGTGTGATAGAAAACTATATGATATTAATTACTCTTGAGTAATTGTGCCACAATGCATTTTAAAAGCAAGAGTTTTCCCTCATTTAAAAAGGATATTTAATGCATATTTCATTTGTTAGTGCAACGCCTCTTCATTTTCTTATATTAGAATTAGATCTGTGCTGATTATTTTGGGGATATATGTATATCCATATTTCCCCATATCTGTAGATACAGATATATATGGATAGAGCTATATAGAGAGAGATGTTCCAAGAATCACCCAGTTTAATTTTTTTTAATGACAGCAAGGGGCGGGGGGGCAGTATAAAAAATGTTCCCTACGGGTATTTTGATGTAAGGAGTCATCTCTTCTATACAAACTGCCAGCTGCTGAGGGTGCCACTCCCTCGCTTTCTGGGCTTCCTCTGCACTTGGGAGAAAGTCTAAGCCCCTGAGTGCTGCTGGAGCTCTGCCTCCCTCTGCAATGCCATCTGGGCTCCTGGTTTCTCAGCACCGCTCTCCCTGCGGTTTCCAGGCCTTTGTGCTCACTGCTGCCTCTGCAGGCATGCTGCTTCCCTCTTCATTTAGCCACGGGGCTTAGTCTTCATTTCTTACTCAGGTTAAACCTCACTTCAGGAAGTTCTTCCCCGACCTGCTCACCAACCCCAAAACACAGGTTAGACTCACTTAATAGATACTTTTATAACACACTGTATTTTCCCTTTCAAGACCTGCATGGCACACTTATTCCCTCACTCAGTGTCCGTCTCCCCTGCTGCACTAAGCTCCACAGGGCAGGGCTTGTGTCTGCCTTGCTACTGCATCACTTCCTACCTCCGCTCCCTCCTCCTGGCTGGCCTCCACTGCCCCCTTATCTCTAATTTGGCCCAAGCCAGAATCTTATTGGTCATCCTGTCTTTATCCTCTCTCCCATCTACTTCCTTAACAACTCACATTGAGCTACGTCATCCCTCTCAATCCATTCTCCATGCTGCTTCCACAGGATCTTTGTAAAATGCTGTGTGATCCTCAGTACGAAGTCTAAACTCTATTATGGCATTCAAAGCCCTTCCGTACCTGGTCCCTGCCGACCCAGTTAAACTTACCTTTTGCCACTCTCCTTTTCTAGTTGTCCTTCAAGTCAGACTGAACTATTTGCATTTCTTTTTTTATACCTCTGAGTATTGCCACAACTTTTCCAGTTTGAGTAGCCTGGATTTCCTGACATCTAGTAGTTGTCCTTTTTTTGTATCTAATTTTAAAAACAGGTTTACTGAGGTATAATGGACATATAATAAATTGTAAATATTTAAAGTGTGCAATTTCACACATTTAGACACGTTTGCATCTGTGAAATCATCACCCATCAAGATCATGAACATATTCATCACTCCCAGCATTTCCTCAAGCCCTTTCATAATCCCTTGCTCCCACTTCTACCTGAACAACACTGACCTACTCCTGTTACTATACATTAGTTTGCATTTTCTAGTGTTTTATACAAGTGAAGCCATACAGTATGCACTCCCTGTTTGTCTGGCTTCTTTCACTCAATTATTTTGAGATTCATCCATGTGTCAATAGTTCATTCTTTTTTATCACCGAGTAGTAATCCATTGTGTGGCTATACTTCAACTTGTTTATTCAGTCATCTGTTGACGGACATTGGGTTATTGCAGGGTATAAATAAGTCTGTTATAAACATTAATATACAAGTCTTTGTAGGGGCATTTTTGGATATAATGATACTGTCATTTATTTCTTTAATTTACCAAGTTTGCATTTTCTCTTGTGAATCACCAGTTGGCCATGTCATAGAATAATGGTGGTGTTCTTGAATTTTTGAATAAGTTCTATGTGTTACAGATATTAATCTGTAAACCATATTTGGTAAGTTTTAAGTTTCTCTTAGTTAACTCAGTCAGAAGTCACCATCCCTCTGTGGATAGTATAAATAGGTTTTTAATATTTATTTGCTCTACTATTTCTATACCTTAGTGCATTTTACATATGATCTTTAAGGCATAGTTTAATGGCAAAAACACATGATTAGAGAGTTGAGTATGAGACCCAGAACTGCCAGTTTTTGAAAATCTGAGAAAGTCCCTCAACTTCTTGAACTTGAATTGTTCCCTCTGTAATGAGAAAGGTGTATAATAAATGTGAAATCATTCTGTAACTTTGGGAACTAAAACGCATTGAATACCGTGGTAGAGAACCCTTTTTTAAACAAGCAAAGCAAACCTGTGAGGATGTCGTCTGTACCCTCTAGTTCACGCGGTTGCATGTCCCGTAGGTATTGGGAAACAAAAGAGCAGCGCACCCCCACCTTGAAGGGGAAGCTCGCGCAGAAGGCGGACCAGGAGCAGCAGGACCCTCTGGAATACCTGCAGTCGGACGAGGAGGACGACGAGAAGAGCGGGGCCCAACGGCGGCTGCAGGAGCAGCGCGAGCGCCTGCACGGAGCCCTGGCGCTCATCGAGCTCGCCAACCTGACCGGCGCGCCGCTCCGCCAGTAGCCTGCACACTGACTCCCACTGTACAAAAGTACTGCCCAGCATACTTCAAAAGTAGATCCTTGGGCATAAGCTAAGCACCTTATTTGCTTACCATAGGCTGCTATTCTGTAGAAATTGATGAAGAATGTTATTGCCCCAAAATATGGGGTGAGAGAGAATTGCACTTTTTTTATATGGTAATGGATTGTTGTAAAGTTTAAAATATTTTGTAAATATGGGACTTCTAGTACAGGGTAGGAAACTACGTATTGTGGGAAGCTAGATTTTGCAAGTTTGATGCATTCATTGGAAGCAGTTTTCACAGGAAGCACTTTCAGAATAAGACACTTTTAGGGAAAAAAAACGAAAGCAGAATGGGACATGTAGCCAAAGAAGGTTAGGAGAGATTATTTATAAGATCATTTTTAACAATTTGTACTAGTACGTTTAACAATACTGTCAACACTGAAGTAAGTGAGAAAGTGGGAGATGTGTGAAAGATGTTTTTAAATTGCAAAATAGTGTGACTAACAAGACTAGAGAAATGGAAAACTGCCTATTTCAGAAGATGTCCTAAGTTACGGATTTTGAAAGAAAAGTAGATATTTGAGGATCTTGGTAAGATGCATAATAGTTCAGAATTTTTAAAATTGGAGTAAATTGGTCTTATTCTATCTTTCTGAGGCTTTACAACTTACTATGATGTTTAGTTTTGAAAAGCACTTGTTATCCCTCTCTTAACTTGGGAACTTTTGCACATTTCATATTTCTCATTTGCTGAAATTGAGTGGTTAATCTTGCAAAGTCTAGGTAACCTGGTAATTTTTTTTTTTTAATATGGGCCCTGTACTGAGATTTGGCACTTGGATTTTTATTAATAAAAGGGACATCTACAGGGTTGTTTTGTAGTGAACTGTTTTAGATCTTTTGTTAGCAAACACTAAATTTCAATTGTACTGCTTGTTTAGAATTATTAGCAAATGAAAGCCGCCTATTTATATTTTCAGTGCATAAAGCCACCTTCTTGCTTTTCAGAATAACATGCCAAATTATTTTGTGCTCACTAAATTCAACTATCAGTTAAACACTGCAGAAAAGATTAGCTACTCAAATAAGTAGGCTTCTGGGATAGTTTTAACTGCATGTGTGTTAACTTGTGTGGTGTTTTTAAACCATTTTTCCAGATAGATGCTATTTTTAAACACCACTTTATGTACTGAAGCATGAACAGAAAAATCAAGAGCTGAGCGGTTCACCTCCTTTATGTAGGCAAAAGCCTCGATCATTTTAGCCTTTGTTTTAAGCAGAAACTAAATAACATGAACAACAGAAATTTTTATAGATTGCTTAATTGGAGTAAACCTCAGAATAATAGAGGGAAACATGGCTCTTCAGCGCCTTTTACTTCGTAGCCGACAGATATGGTTTAAACATTATCTAAAATATATGCTTCTTCCTCCCCAAATCCCAGTGTGTTGCAGTCACAGTGTCACATATGTAGCTTTTCCTTGAAAAGGAACAAAAGTGTGAAAGATGATAACAAATAATGTATATGATGAGGACATACTTTACAAATGTAATCCTCAGTACAGTAAATTACAGATCTTGAAGGATTTTTTAAATAAGAAAATTTATATTTGTAATGGTCTAAGAATTTTGTTTGTAATCTGATATATAGAATTTTAACTTGGAGCACTTATAGGCACAGTAAAAGAGACTATAGAATTGAATTTTCTTGGTTTAGCTGTCAACATTTTTCTCTAGATTTTTCCTTTCAAGTATGATTTAAATGAATTATAAAAAGCAACACTTATCAGTCTTGGGAAATCTAAAATTTGATGAAATTACATAAAGAAGGAAGATGGTAAGAATTTAAAAAATACAAATACTTGCCAATTCAAAAATAATACAATTTAAAGCCTTCAAAAGTAAGGGCTTTTGTTTCTCTGGTCAGCTTTTGTCAACTATAATAGTTATATTCACATTCTTTATTTGTATAATTGAAAGTTTCAGAAATTATTACAACTATTTACTATAGAAATATTTAAAATATAATACTTCAAAAGTAGATTCTTGGGCATAAGCTAAGGGTTTTTTGATATAAGCTATATACTTGGACAAAATACATTGGCATTTAAAATCTGAGGTGTGTTAGGACTGCTTTTTGTTTTAAAAATGTGGTTTACATTCAAATTTTTGAAGTGTTTTATGCTTCATATGGCTAAGCTGTAGTTTGGCAGAATTAACAGCATAAGAAATAAACATGCTGTAATTTGAAAAGATGCTTTCAATAAAATGTTAATTTACAGTTTCAAGTACATGCTCATTCTTGAACCCTTTATAATTTGTTTTCCTATCAAAAATATAACAACCATGATTTTAAAAATTAAGATTTAGAAAGAAATATCACCTGTGGCTCTACAGGCTTTTTTTATTATTTTGATAACATTTTATATTTCACTAGAGGCCCGTTGCACGAAGAGATTCATGCAATAAGCCTTCCTTCCCCTGGCTGCCAGCACTGGTTTACCCTGGGACCCAGGCCTTCGCTCTGGCCACAGAGGAGAAGGCAAGCCTCTTCGGTCTGCATATGCAAATTAATCGCCATCTTTGTTGGGTTAATTTGCATACTCATTCTGATTGGCTGAGTGTAGCAGAGTGATACCAATTTGCATGTTTCTCTTTTATTAGTGTAGATTCTGGTCTCATTCCAGTCATCTTTTTAGAATAGTTGGAACCATAGTATGAGTTGCTTTTTCTTACTTTAGAATGATGGCCTTTTAGGTTATAGATATTCATTTAACTTTCTCATCTGGTTCATTATTAGTGTTAAAAGTACACTGGTGTACATAGTATTGCCAGCCCTATGGCAGATCTTACGTTAGGGAAATCGGGAATGGGATTTCATTTTACTTCTATTCAGGATGTGTTGCATCTGGGGGCACCTGAGTCAAGCAGATCTTTGCATTTTTCATGACTTATTTTTAGTTTATCTTTAGTTCTGCACTGGAAATGGCAAGGTGCAGCCTGGGGCTTTGCAAAAGAATTGCAACTCCACTTCTGACATCAACTGAGTAAGGATGAGATTTTAACAGCGATATAGTCTTGGAAGTATGGACATAGAAACAAATAAATGCAAATATTAAGGCTGTCATTAAAAGTGACTTCACTGTTTTGCAGTCAAAACTTATTTGGAGACTCACTGGAAACTTAATTGATTTTTTTAGGAAATTAACCAAAATGACTTCAAGTTCAGATGATTTTATTCAACTTGCCTATGAATTCATTTTCTATTTTAAAATGGTCTTGTGTGTTTTTTCTTGTTTTGGGTAATGTGGACTCTTCCTTCCTGCCTTTTTTAGTGCTAGTCATTTGTCAAAAGTTCTGCTTTAGTTCTTATCAGTGTTGAAAAGATTCTTGGTTGTTCAGTGCCTACAATAGAAAACCAATTGTATGGCATGGATATAATTAGGCTCAAACATCTAAGTTGAAATATTTAGCTTTTCTGAAAAGCTAAGATTTCAGAATTTTAAAGTTAATTATTTACAATGAAAATATGGGACACTAAACATTGCTAAAGCACGTGGACTCTGGTCAGAGCAGGCGGTTCTGGGAGGCTCGCCTTCAGTTAACGTCACCAGCACACATGCTTGGTTGCTGGAGAGAGAGAGAGGAGGGGAGGGGAGGGGAGGGGAGCCCGGCGGGAGGCAACTGCAGAAAGCGCGCAGAAGCGAGGGAGCCTGAGCCCGCGCTCACGCACCAGCCCTCCCACCCCCGGGCCTGCCGAACGGAAATGAACGCACGCGCGCACACACACACACACACACACACACACACACACGAATGTTTGTGGAAACGTTTTTTATAATCGCCCTAAACTGGAAACAACCCGCATGCCCAGCAGCTGGCGAGTGAACACACTGTAGTGCTACTCAGTGAACAGAAACGTGGGTGAGTCGCCAAAACGCAAAGAGCGGGAAAAGCCTTCAAAGAGGACACAAGGATTTCTAGAAAAGGCAACTCTAACCCATGGCAATAGAGTGACTTCTGGTTGACTGCTTCCGGCAAAAAGGGCCCCTGGGGGGGTGGGGTGACATGGTGTATGCATTTGTCAAAAACATCACACTGTGACTCATAGAATCTGCATTCCATTTTGTGTAAATTGTACCTTTAAAAAGTATTGCAGAGAAAAAGTAAAACCAACCCTAAAACTTAACTGCGGCGTTTCTCCCCAGGAGAGGTGCGGAGGAAGGCAGGGCTCCCCCAAGCCCGCTCTGCCCCCCACCCCCCGGACAGGTGCCCCGCGCGGGCTCCCGGACCAACTCCCGCCGCGCGGCTCCTCCGCGCCCGCAGCTTTGGGGCGCCGGCCGGCCGCGCCGACACGTGGGGTTCGCTGGGCCCCTTCCTGTTTGGACTGCGCCCTCTCGGGGCGACGGGGCGGAGGCGGAACTGGGGCGGGGCGGCCCGGAGTGGGGCCGAGGCGGGCGGCGGGCGGCGGGCGCGGCGCGGGCATGACCCGCCAGGGCCAATGGCGCGGGCGCGGACCCCGCCTCCGGCCGGCTGCCCCCCGGGATGGCCCAGCTGCTGTCGGCGCTCTTCTACGGGACCTGCTCCTTCCTCATCGTGCTGGTCAACAAGGCGCTGCTGACCACCTACGGGTGAGGCGGGCGCCAGGGGTCCGGCGGGGTCCGGGGGGTACGCTCAGCGGCGACCCGAGCCGGCACTGTCCGCGCCGCCGGCGGGAATGGGCGCGACCCGCGAAGTCCCGCGGGCCCGGAAGTGGCGGGCCGCGGTTGCCTCGGTGCGCTCAGGCCGGGCGGGCGGGGCCGGAGAGCGGAGTCCCAGTGCCCACGGGCGGCTGTGCTCCGCACCTTGACCGGGTTTCACAGGCCCGGACCTTCCGAGAGCCCAGCCACACCTCACCAAGTCCCCCTCCCTCGGTGCGGGACGGCCTGGCCACTGCTTGCTCCCGCGGGACAGCCCGCGAAGCTGTGCTGCGTGAAACTTCAACCCAGTGCTTCCAGGTGCACCCATGAGCTGAACAAGTGAACACGTTTAAATATGTATCTAGATGTTCAGTAATCATGTCAGTCCTGAGCGGATAAGCTCGTTTGTATTGTGTGATCTTTCTCAACCGACCAGCGTGTTCATGGACAGCTGGGGAAAACGATGGCAAGTTCCCATGATTACTGTCTTGGATCGAGTGTATGCTAAACCAGCAGATTTGCGGTTCCTTGAACCTTCTTGTAGGGACTAGAAAAACCTGTTTAATTCTGCTGTCACAGGAGCAGCGTTGAAAGCTGTGAATTCAGACCCAGCTCCACTGTAGTGGCTGTCCCTCCTGGGCCAGTCCCACAGTTAACAGTTTCTCAGATGCAAAAGCTGGGTAATTACAACCCTGTAAGTTGCCGCCCAGAGCTTGGCAGGACCTGTCATAAGTGAGGCTCTTTGTAAACTATACTTGCTACAGACTAAATCAGCATTTGATAAAGAGCACAAGGAGATGCCAGAGCATCGTCAGCCTTCTTATAACACTTGAGAAAGTGGAGACCCACATGAGCTGGGCTGGTTACACCTGCCACATACTTGCTGAGCAGCACCTACTGTGCGCCAAGCAGTCGCAGGCACCAGGGAAGCAGCTGTGAACAACACAAAGCCTCTGCTGGGAGGTCCCAGTCAGTAGTGGAGACAGAAAATAAACAAGTGGGTTCATGAATCAGCAAGAAGGTTCCAGGTGTGAACTGCGAGTGCCCGGGTGGAGGGGTTGGTGCTGCAGCATTCCAGACAGCGGGGAAGGTGTGGAAGGGGCTTGGGCGTGGCCTGCTGCGGGAACAGAGAGCGAGCGCTGTGGCTGGAGCTGAATGAGCAAGTGGGAGGAGGAGAGATGTCTGGGAGGTCGGCAAAGAAGGCAGGATCAGATCCTTCATTCAATAATATTTATGAAGCACCTGTTTTGTGCCAGGCACTGTTCTAGGCACTTGGGATACAGAAGTGAATAAAGCAGATCAACATCCCAAGTGTCATAGAGCATACATCCATCCTCCCAGGGCTTACATGGAACTTTCTAGTGAATCCTATATAATAAAAGCCTAATATGCTACGTGTCCGGTCTGATCATCCATTCAACCAATCAAAGCGTTATATGCTAATGATATGCTAAGGCTGCTCAACTGTTCACTATGATGTCCACTGACCACCAGGGGGCAGACAGTGGACTGGTCGACCAGTCGCTATGACGCCCAGTGACCACCACAGGGCAGATGCTCTGACCAGTAGGTTAGCTTACTGCTGGGGTCTGGCCAATAGGGACTGAGCGAGATGGACCGGACATGCCCTGGAGTCCTCCTTCGGTCCCTCTCCAGCTGGCCAACCTCCCGCATCCCTCCCTGTCCCTGATTGTGCATTGGTGGGGTCCCTCAGTCTCCCTGCATCCTCTGGCAATCCAGGACCCCTCGGGGGATGTCAAAGAGCCAGTTTTGGCCCGATCCCACAGTTTTGGCCGAGGGACCCCACTGGTGCACAAATTCGTGCACTGGGCCTCTAATTAAGAAATAAACTGCTAGAATTTATGTCATGGCAGATGTGGCTGTGCAGTCAAGAGGAAAAAAATCAGGCAGGAAACGGAATGAGGTAGGGAGTGTGGGCATGGGAAAGCATTCTGTCTTGTCGCGGTCAGTGAAGCCTCACCAAGGAAGTGACATTTGAGCCAAGACGTAAGTGAGACGAGTTAGGAGCTTTGGTGGGAATGAATGGTACTAGATGGGTCCCAGGTGATGGGTTGGTGGGTTGTGTAGGGCCTTTGCGGCCACCGTGGGGGCTCTGAGCTGGTTGGGAGCCACTGGGAGGAGCAGAGGAATAGCAGGGTCTAAATCACTCTGCCTGCTGTGTTGAGATCAGATATTGGGGGACAAGGGTAGAAGCAGGGAGACCTTCAAACCAAACAAATTATTTTAATTGTAGTCTGAATGCAATTGCAAGTCCCTGGGAAGGTTTTACAAAGGGAATGCTATGACATAACTTGTGTTTCTAAAAAGATTTCTTTGGCTGGTGGGTGGGTGGAGAAGTAATGATATTGGGAGCAGGGAGAAGAGCTAGGAAGCAACTGCAGTATTCTAGATAATTCTACGAGATTGCTTGGACTGGGGTAGGGTTAGCATGGGGTATGGGGGGAACAATAGATTTTGGGTATTTTTTGGTGGGCCTATGGCTGTTGATACTGCTACCGGGTCTCTCCCAGAATTGCAGCGTGCTTGCTGGTGTCCGTGGGAAACAGACCCAATGCCTAAACCTGGGTCATCCAACACATGCAGTGGAA